ATAACAGGTGTCGTAGAACTGGGAACCATGGGGCGTTCACGCACTCGAGAGCCACCAGGAGAGCTGTCAGAACTCGGTTCAGAAAACCGTGATATCAGAGGGAGTGGGGGAAAAGCGAAAAGAAGCATTTTGGGCCATGAGCTGTGAGCGAACGCGTCCACCCCTAGTGGTGGTTAGTCCCGCGGGCTCAATGAGAACCATAGTTGACACTGAGCGTTCTCTCGTGTTGCAAACAGGACCACAGCCGCTTTGCTAAATTTCAGCCACGTCTGAGCCATCAGCTCTGGATAGAGGGTCCAGTCCCCGTGATGCGGATCGCCCCTGGACATCACATCTGCCCCACTGTTCAGAACACTGGGGATGTACACTGCTCTGATGGAGAGCAAATTTTGGTGTGCCCAAAACAGCAGCTGTCTCACAATGTGTAACATTTGGGCTGAGCGTGCACCCCCCCTGCCAGTTATGTATGCAGCAGTCACTCGTTGTCTGTGTGAATCAACACATGTTGATTCTGTAGCACAGAGGCAAAGTGTTGAATCACATTCAAAATCGTGACACTCCAAAAACATTTATATGAGTTGCTGTATGGGGTGGCCACAGCGCCCCCACAGCTCGAGACATGCGTGTGCCTTCCCAACCTGACAGGGACGCGTCAGTGAAGACTGAAACGTGTGATGTAGGTCTGCTGATGGGAACTCCCTCCGACATAACAAAAGGGTTTCCCAGTGTCTCAGGTCGATTCTCACGGAGGGGGGCACAGCAATCAACCGTCTCTTCTTTCTCACCGGGTCCACACGGAAATGAGCGGACCACCTCTGGAGGCGTCGCACTGTGTGAGCAGACGACATGTCCTTAATAACTTCATGACGGAAACAGCTGTTATCACTCTGCCGGTTTCACGTGAGTTGCACTGCTGCCACCTGTCTGGAAAAAAAGGGTCAGCAGCAACAGATCGTCTAGATAAAACAGAATTCTCCTCCCTGCTCTGTGTAGCAGCTGCAGAGCCAACTCGACGCATTTTGAATGGAAATGTTGTCTCACAGTTGAAAATTGACAAATCTAAGACGAGTCTCATCCCTCCGGTCTGTTTGGGACCAGGAAGTGACGAGAGTAGAACCCTGTGTTTTCCTCTCCTTCTGGAACCCTGGAAATTACATTTTTTATCAGAATTTCCTGAACTTCTGCGTGGGGGAACGAGATCTGTTCTGGAGATGACAGAAACGTCTCTAAAGTTCCTCCAAACAGGGGGTTTGAGCTGTAACTGCAGCATATCCCTTGCTGATAAAAACGGTTCATCCATCTGTCTAGAGCGCACGCTCGTTGCCACTCCACGTAACCTTCGGGAAGCGGGCGCGCGTTTATGCTGCATCACATTATTTACGGATGCCAATCACCGTCGTCATGTGTGCCACACTCAGGCTGCGAGCTCACATCCGTGCTGATGTGAGCTGGTGTGCGCTGAGAGAAGGTGCGCGCGCCCCTGAGCATGCGGAACTGTGGGTGAGGGCTTCTGCTGCCGCGGGAGCACGGCACTACTGTGCCCCGCTCAGGCTGCGGACTTACATCCGTGCTGATGTGAGCTGGCGTGCGCTGAGGGAAGGTGTGCATGCCCCTGAGCATGCAGAACCGTGGGTGAGGGCAGCTGCTGCCGTGGGAGCGCGGCACTACTGTGCCCCGCTCAGGCTGCGGGCTCACATCCGTGCTGATGTGAGCTGGCGTGCGCTGAGGGAAGGTGCGCGCGCCCCTGAGCATGCGGAACTGTGGGTGAGGGCAGCTGCTGCCACGGGAGCGCGGCGCTACTGTGACACGCTCAGGCTGCGGGCTCACATCCTTGCTGATGTAGGCTGGCGTGCGCCGAGGGAAGGTGCGCGCGCCCCCGGGCATGTGGAAACCGCGTAGGTGAGGGCTGCTGATGCCGCGGGGGCACGGCATTTCTGTGTCGCGATCAGGCTGCGGGCTCACATCCGTGCTGATATGAGCTGGTGTGCGCTGAGGAGGCAGCGCACAGCTTGGGCTGAGAGTGAGGTTTCCCACTGGACTCGGTCTGCTGAAAACATTCACTTTGGCTGCTGTGTCACTCGCGCGCATTTTGTTTGTTTTCTCGGGCTGCGGCGATTGAAACCTGTTTGGAGTACACCGGCTCGCTTGTGTGGAGGATGTGTGAAGAAAAAGCCGCTGTGAGATCATACGAACTGACAGTCAAGTTGAAATCAGACACTTTAATTCCTGAATTAATTTCCTCCCAGGCTCTGATCGAGATGGCAGCTTCAATTTCTCCTCCCCCTTTTTTTCCTTCTTCCTGCTCTGCTCTCTGTCTGTCTGAAGCGCCTGGGTCTCATCTCCCGAACATAAATTAAGAAAATTATGGATTTGGGATCGTGGGCGTTCAACTCTATTGATAAGATTTTGTCATCAAAGCGACAAGGTCCTGGGGAACCGGCATGTCCAGCTGAGACTCACGCTGTGGGGTACGTCATGGATTCGTGGGGAGTGTGGCAATCGATGTGCATTACAGTACTGTCTCAAGAAGATGTTGAAGACGTTTACATTTTCTTGTTTGCTCTAAATTTTAGTAAAGGTGTGTCTGAGTCTAAGTTTTGCTTAATAAATGCACTTTGAAGGTCAAATCAGATGTAATTTAAAAGCCGATTTACGGAAGTGGGAGAGCACAGAGAGATGACTGATTGTGCATTTCTTCGAAATTTTACAAGATAACCACCTAAAAACAATTATATGTTTGCTCGACTTTATTGTAAAGGTGTGTCTCAGTTGAACTGTTACTTAATAAATGTACTTCAATGGTCAAATTAGCTGCATTTTGCCGGGGCGGCGCAGCGAAATGAAGCTGATTTGACGATTGCTCCAGGCAGGGCCGGCCCAAGCCTACATGGGACCCTAAGCGAAATTTGGTTTGGCGGCCTCTATTTCTGCTAATAATGTGGATTACTGCAATCAACAGTCAGATGATCAGATCATTCAACCACCTAACATAAACTCATTGCAACTCTGACAGCCTTGTTTGGAGGCTCCGAAGACCAATTATTTTTTCTTTCTGCATTTATAGAGAATGAGCTACATCTGCAGGGACTACATGAGTTGCCCACAGGGCATGTTCTAAAAATAGCACTCATGATCAAGGAGCACCATCTAAAAATCGTCATTAATTATATTTTTAAATTTAAGAAATAACATTTGCAAGGATGTATATTTGAAATGAAAATGATTAATAAAAATTTTAAAAATAAATAGTTTTATGCATGCAGTTTAGCAATCTTGTCTGGAGTCAAAGTTCAGAATCATGCGTAGACCACTCCCATCTCTGCAGCGGTGCAGCTACAAGGTAGTTTTACCTCCCAGAGAAGAAAATGGTAGAAAAACGTAAGAAAACACATTTTCACAGTGGCTGGGAGGAAGAGGTCTTTCACACTGTTGAAAGTCAAGTGTGTCTGTGTTTCATTAGTGGGCTGTGGCAACAGCAAAACACAACGTGGAGCAACACTTCATCAGCTAACATGTTAGCTTCAATGCTAACTAGCTCATGGTGGCTCACAACAATCAGAAGAATGTCAGAGTTAGAGGCAGCTTTGAGAAAGTGGCAGATGATTTTTATGAGGCATTTTCAGATGAGGTCTTGAAAGAAGCAATGATGAAATCTGTGAAAAATTATTTATTTAAAAAGAGTAAAAGATGTGATGATTAATTAAAATGATTTTATATGTACAGCACTTTGTTGCAGCTGTGGTTATTTTAAAGTACTTTATAAATAAAGTATTATCATTATTATTAAAAATGCTGCAGATCTGAGGATCAATACTAATGTCACATGATTTATTTAAAAATGTCACTTTGTTTATTATATTACTGATAATTTGTATCTGCAAGTTAGAGTTCTTCTGAAGTGTTATAAACAAAACAGTGCAAACAGGGCTTGATTGGAAGATTTTATTCTTAATAGGTTATTAAAAATGTTACATAAGTTGTTAATAGTAAAAAGCATATTTTGAATGAATATTACAAATGTGTTCATTCCTACAAAACAGTTAATAAAATATTTATAAAATACACTGAATTTCAAATGTTACAGATTGAGTTTAACATAAAAGAAATGGTAATTTATGTTTAAATATCAGTTTTCTGCTGTAGTAAATCATCCGTTTTGACCCCTTTGTTTGGGACTGGAGCCAATCACTGCTGCTTTTGGGTGAAGGCAGGGGACACCCAGGACAGGTCTCCAGTCCATCACAGAGACAGACAAAGAGACAAACAACCATCCACACTCCCAGTCACAGCTAGGAACAATTTACAGAAGAACCAAAAAAGATTCATACTGGGGACTCAATTTCTTGATTGAGAGTTCTAATCACTAAATATCAATAATAATTGAGCATATTTACCAAGCTAAATCCTTAATGATAATCACTGTGGGGAGTTTTTAATAATACAGATCAGATCAGATGTGATCCGGCAGTCATACATTCACATGTGTGTAAATGTATTATACTATAAATAAAGGTGAGCAAATTTGTTTGTATGAAACAAGTGGCCCTTTGTGTCATTTGGTCCCAATGAAGTAGCTCTCAGTCTCAAAAAGGTTGATGACCCCTGATTTGCATGATATCACACACACACACACACACACACACACCTATCTTTCTATCTATCTATCTATCTATCTATCTATCTATCTATCTATCTATCTATCTATCTATCTATCTATCTATCTATCTATCTATCTATCTATCTATCT